GTAACAATATCCTTGAGGTAAGGGAGGCAATTTTGGGAGACAAGACTGTTAGTGGTGCATCAGAAACTGACACTATACTAATGCATTCTGCTGGAGAAAATACATTTGCTCCACCTTCTATGTGGCAGCCCTAAACTATTTGAAGATGGTGATCAAGTAACCAATTAGTCTTCTCTTCTGTAGGCTGAATGTGTCCAGTTCCTTCAAACAATGCCACCTTGGGTCCTTTTAAGGAGAAAGGCAAGGGGAAAATATTTTAAATAAAATACATAAATTTGAATAAATAGTTTCTTCCAGACCTTTTACCATTCCAGCTGTAGTACTTATGAAAAGGACCTTGGTGCCTTAGTAGACCACAAGCTAAGGATAAGTTAACAGTGTGATGTGACAGTAAAAAATACCAATGCTATATTAGGCTGTATCAGTAGAAGTCTTAAGGCCATCCTCCTTAAGGTATGTAAGAGTACCGCTCTGCTCTGTGTGGGACAGCCCTCACTTAGAGTACTGTGTCCATTTCTGGGCACCAAGTTTAGGAATTATATTGAGAAGCTGATAAGTGTCCAGAGGAAGGCAGGTCTAGTCATCAGCACCAAGGTATACGCTTCCTAAAACCAACTAGGTTATTTTGGTTTACAGGGCAAAATACGCTACAAGTGCCACTCCCTCATCTTAGCAGGGAAAATACAATCTTAACACTGATAAGCTGATGCCTCAGATCGACTGCCTGGTGTGGCTGTATTGCTTGGCCAAACGGTAGGGCCGGCCCTACAATATTTCCCTCTGTAGACACTCTGGGCAAAATTCCAGTGCTTAGGGACAGACCTCATCAGCTGCTGCTGCCATTTTCAGCCCATTCAGCTTCTTTCTTTCTTCGTTGCAGGCCAACTCCAGAGGAGGCGCAAGAATGGGCTGACTCTCTAGAAAAGCTGCTGCTTCATCCGTGTAAGTGTGCGTGTGGTGTTTGTGTGTGTGTGTGTGTCTGTGTGTATGAACACACACACAGTTAGCAGTAGGCAATATGTGTGCTTCCTGCGAAGTGGAAGTGAGCGGTAGATAATCAAGGGGGCCACCCAAAGCCCTTTTGTTGCCTCAGGGTGAAATTGCAAGTTAAGGGCAATGTGTATTTCCTGCAATTATAATCATTTCCCCACAAGCATGCTGTTCATACAAAGAACAATTGGAATTACAAATGAAGTGTGTGTTTACCTCTCAGTTGACCAATCACAAAACAAAAACAAGTCAAATGCTGAGACAATCCTATGTCTTTTGTCACTTCAGAGATCTTCATCTCTAATGATGGGACAACTGTATTATCTAGTTTGAGCTACGCTCTGCACAGTGATAGAGGTAGTCCTGATGGGCACTCAGTGTGATAACCTTGATTCCAGATGGTGATAGTTTTTCTATCAGTCTGTTGATTCCATGTGTTTGATGACCAGTAGATCCACCGCAGTCCAAACAGAAAGAAGCACAGACCTCTTATCCACCTATGTTCACAGTGTAAAAGGAAAGACTGCTACTAAAATCTTATTTTCTCTCTCTTTTTTTCCCTTCTGTTCCTCATCTTCAGATGGGCGATCGGCCTTTCGCGCTTTCTTGGAGTCAGAATTCAGTGAAGAAAACCTGGACTTTTGGATGGCGTGCGAAGATTACCGGAAACTCAGGGGCTGTGAGCAGCTTCAAGACAATGCACGGAAAATTTACGATCAATACATTACTATCCAAGCCCCTAAAGAGGTAGAAAAAATCTTAAAGAAGTTTTCCAAGCACTCTTTATTTGATTCCCCCTCCCCCCACAAATTTTAAACTAGCTTCTTAGGTGGAGAAACAATGTACGTTCCAGCCGATGTATTATAAGGATGCAAAAATTCCGGCTGTCCAGATCAAAGCTTGAAAAAGTTACTTTGTTGGATTCTTAACTCCCAGGAGTTCCCAAATACTGTAGCTAGATTTGGGAGCTGAAATCCAAAAAAGGTGATTTTTTTCAGCTTCTACTCAAAATATTGCTGGATTTCAGTTTCTATCACCCTTGACCATCAGACTTGCTGCCCAAGGATGAGGGGAACTGGAGTCAAGCAACATCTGAAGCCGACAGATTTCCCCACCCCTGGTTTAGGAATTCTCCAGTATTTTGTTTTTCAACATGCATGTGTGCACCTCGATCAGTGGCTCCTACCCTTGAGTAAGCCACGTATCCTTGGCCTGCAACTCCGAGAAGCCTTCACCACTAGCTGTGCTGGATGAGGTTTCTAGAGTTGCTTGGGAACCGTTGGCCTAGATGAAACACTGCAGGTGAAGCCTTTTCAGTGAACATGAGGATGACCGCATGACCAGTCTACTGGAACAGTTGCGTGCACATCCATCAAAACACGGCAGAAGAAGGACAGGCTGTATGGCACGCAGATGCTGGGAAGTGCAGCCCAGAAGGAGAACTTTTCCCAGCTCTAAAATTGAGGCTTGAACAATAGTTTATTATAGTCATTCCAAATCAATTAGCTGGTTTTCCCAAACAGCAAGGTCACTGAACAATAACGTTTCCTTATGTTTTATTATATTGTTTTTATTCCGTTTTTTATTGTTAGCCACCCAGAGTAGACTTCAGTCTAGATGGGCGGGGTATAAATTTAATAAATAAATAAACAAACAGAACACGGTAGGGATCCTTTTTTATTGTCCCCTCTCCCATTCCATGATTTTATTTGCTTCTCCCCTCACAGGTAAACCTGGATTGTCAGACCAGAGACATCACCAACCGGAACATCTTACTTCCCACGCGCTCATGCTTTGAACAGGCCCAGAGGCGTATCTTCGGCCTGATGGAGAAAGACTCGTACCCTAGATTCCTCCGCTCCTTCATTTACCAAGCCTTGGCCCAACCCCACAGACATCAGGCCAACGGACCCGTGTAAACTTCGCTACTGCCTTTACCCTTCATCGCAGTTTGAGTGAAGGAGAACCGAAATCCTCCTTTGGTCTCGAATTCCCCGGCTGGACTGTTCAGGATGTGAAACACCTCAGAAAGAAGGCAGAAAGACAGTGTTCCCTGATTCTTGGCAGATAATAATGACCCAAGCTGGCAGCTAATAATGACCCAAGCTGGCAGCAGGATTGTGCGACTTGTCACATGTTTGAGGACTTTTTGGACATGCATAAAATAAGTCACAGGAAGTTCTGGATTGGCTCATTTGGCCCTGGACAAGTTTTCAAGGATTACTGAAAAAAATGTTATGATTCTAGAGTCACTGTCAGAGCTGTGTGTTTCTTCTGTGATGAGGTCTTATTCTATGAAACGGCCCTATACAGTGGTGCCTTGCTTAAGGAGTGCACTGCTTAACGACGAGTCCGCATAGCGATGCGGATTTTGCGATCGTTTTTGCGATCGCATTGCGATGTTTTAATAGGTAAAACATCACATTGCAATGATCGGTAAGCATTTCGCTGACCGATCTTCGCATTGCGATGTTTTCAGAACAGCTGATCGGCGGTTCCAAAATGGCCACC